AGTAACAAGTCATATTTAATTAACCCTTAATTAATTAAAAGGTCCACCACCGATATCTCAAAAACAAGTAAAGTTAAGTTTGTTTGATATGTGTTATTTGTTATGACATATAACTGATTTGGTTTTCACAATTTAATTGCTCAAAATCAAATTGGACCTTTGTATCCCCGCCCTACCCTATCAAAGTTTATGTGAATACAACTTTAAATTACAACAGAAGAAATTCATACGTACAGATTTTTAATTTACTACTTCAATAATCTATTAGACTGTAGACTTATTAGTTGTTTTTTGCTATGATAAGAATTGAATACCAATTTTCAAACTATTTGTAAGCTTGATGTGAATTAAATATTTAATATAGTTCATTTCTTTTCTAAGATGTTAATTTCGAATAAAAAAATATTACACTAACAGACAAATATTATGAAACTCTTTCATGAGAACTAATTTTACGTCTTATTTATTTTTATTGAAAGAATACCTTCCAGTTTTATATTATAAACATTATATATTGTTATAGTCGATACATATAATGGATAATCATCTATTGAGTTGTTTTGATTTTAATACAATATCTATCGTACAAATGGCAATTGTCAATTATAAAATTTGCGAAATGTCCTGAACTACGCATTTGTTAAAATATATAATAATAATTAGATGAGATTTAGCTTGCCAGGTTCATCCAATGGCTTTTAAATTTTTGAAATCGGCGCAGCAAACGTCAATGAAATGTCAAAAATCGGCTCGCATACATTTTTTTAAATTTTATTTTCAATAGCAATCAAAATCGTAGTCAAGACCATCAAAAAGATGGGTGACTATATAGAGTCACTTACTTCAAACTCTATAAAGTTTGAATGATGTTCTAGTTTATGAAAATGTTTGACACTGTTGATTTTTATAACTCTGTTTATAAATTCAATATGAATATCGTCGTGTAAGGTCTTATTGCTTACGAATCATGGAGCATCAGTAATTTGTCTTAATATTTTCGACTGGGCAAGTTGCATTAGCACAATGTTGGATTTACTCGCACAGCCCCACAATTGTATGCCATAAGTCCATATAGGTTTTATCATTGCCTTGTAAATTAGAAGTGTATTGTCAATAGATAGAATTGACTTGCGTCCCAGAAGCCAGTATAGTTCAGCGGTTCGAATTTTTATAGTTTTTAATTTTGCGCGAATATGATCCTTCCACATCAATCTGCGATCTAGATGCATACCTAAAGGTATTCGACACAATCAGTACTTGAAATTGCTTGACCATGAAAATGCTCGCATACTTGTTTCCAATTTTGGTCTCAAACGATTCAGGATGACTTAAAAGATGAAAACATAAACTCCTCCTTGGGGAAGTTAGTAATAAAATGAATTTGCGATTTATCAAAAGACTGATTGGATCTAGTTCGATTGATTATTTACCAGTAGTTTTAGATTGTTTACATACAATCACTTTCTAATATTATAATTAAATCCATATCGTTTGGAATAAATAGATATAAAAGTATGCTAAATACCCTTCATTCATTTACTGTCATCTATAAATAGTACAATCGTAATTCAAAGTCAATCAAAACATACATTACACATGCATAAAATAAATACTCATACGGTATTATATATATTAAAATATATGCGTACAAGCAAGTAAAATATATGCGCATGAAGTGGAAATCAGTGTTATATCCAATAGTACGAAGCCTCCTTCTGCATTGTAATTAATATTAATATAATTCTATCAATTTGTTATTCAAATCCGTCTGAATAAATAAACAGTTCCATTTGCGATTGGGGTTACCGCTTACAAAACAACATCGTGCTATTAGTAGGCAAAATTTTAAATGCAGTTTCCATTCGTCAAGGCTGTGGCGAACGATTCTTGTAAAAATAAATCCCGTCGGCTCCGGGCGAGGATCTCATTATTATCATTCGAAATTCACACGTGTTCCAATGGCGAACGATCATATTATATGGACGAGATATAAAAGAACCAATATCCAAAGTTATTTAGAACTGATAGAATCTGCAGAAGGAGTGAGATGTCGATAATTGACCTTTTATGGTAATAAAATCGATGATCATGCGAATCGTGGATATAGTGGCATTTAATTTCATTAGCATTTTAAAATTCTTGTAAATATATTATATTTTAGTAGAAAGTAGGTAAATATTTGGTGCATAAATAATACCACTGACAAATATGTATTGAGTTTGATAAATTTTCAAAATGATGAAATCAATTTTGGATACAGTTTTTCGTGACAAAATTTAGGGACTCGTGGCTATAACGACCGGACTTTAATCAGAAGTCCTGGGTTTAATCCCGGATTAAGTTTGATAAATTTTCTAAATAATAGAATCAATTTTGGAAACAGTTTTATGTGACGAAATTAAGGGCTTGCTCGTGGCAAAAACAACTGGACTTTAATCAGAAGTTCCGGGTTTGATCCCGGATTGAGTTTGATAAATTTTATAAACAATGAAATCAATTTTAGTAACAATTTTATGTGGCGAAGCTTAAGGTTCGCTCGTGGCTGGAACGACTGGACCTGAATCAGAGGTCCCTAATTCGGCCCCGGATTAAATTTGATAAATTTTCAAATTAATGTAATCAATTTTGGTAAAATTGACTGAACCTGAACCAGAGGTCCCAAGTTCTATCACGTTTCAAACAGCCTGTTGTCAATCAGTAGTGACAACGGTTTTCACTTGGAGATAGCAATATGTTTCCAAGTGAAAATGGCCCTGATCCGGCATTTCTGCATCAATAAATATACACCTTATTACAGAAATTGTAATAATAAATCATCATACAAAAGACAAAACAACTGTTTGGGATGCCATCTGTAGAATCGACTAGTATTAAGTATAATATTAAGTCAAATTAGCATAAGCGCTTATAGGGTTCTTAAGTTCTGATTGATGTTCAAAATAATAATAGGAAAAAAATGTGGCAAAATTTAATATGGCACGGAACAACAAATTATATGAAGACAATTGTGTATATAATATTACTAATGTGCTATCAAACGTGCTAGTCTGATAGTTAAAATAGTTTATTCACTATAAGTTATAAATTTCATATAAATATTCATAAAATTTGAATAATAAAATTATAATATTTAACAAGAATTCCAAAATATAGTAAAAAAGGAATGCATATTATTGAAATCTCTATTAAAATTTTGTAAATCTAATCTCATACTCATTTCCCGCTCATTATCATACTCATTTATAATAATTACCAATTATTATATTAATATAGTATATACTGTTATAAGCATATAATAGTTCAAATAAATCTATCACACTAAAAAAGGCAAATTGTAAATATTGTAAAATATTAATGGCTTATTATCTATCTCACCACAATCATAGCATTCGATTTTGATAATGAGATAAAAAGATGAGATGAAAAGTTTAGATATTTTTATTAGAAAGATAGCTATTTCTTTTATTTTCCATAAACCATTTCATAATTTTTGAGAGCTGATACATCAAGACTTTTATGTAAAATGTTTCATTTGATTTTAGTTTTTAGTTTATGCGTTAGAATTTCGAATGCTTATTTTGAAGTTTTTTATTGCAAAATCTTGATTTAATATTGTAAAAACGTGTATAAGATATATAATAGATATGATAGATAATAGATATCACGCCTGAACTGGTTTAGCAATTTAATAGATACAAAAGTATGCTAAATACCCTTCATTCATTTACTGACATCTACGGCTAGATCTGCCTTTGCCAAAAACTAATCAGCACGTCTCCTTATCAATAGGAATCGAATATTTTTTGAATAATTGAAATCCGTTGAATCGTGTTCTCAAAATCGTCGACAAAAATTTGTATCCGGACACACACACATACATCCATTTTTTCTAAGATATGCGAAAATGTTTAGAAACCTCTGAAACGTAAATATATATAAAAAAAACATTTTCGATTTCTTTGCGATTACTATAACTTACCCTACGAGAAGTTAAAAAAAGCATGGCTAGTTTGTGATTCCCATGATAACTAGCTGTAAGTGGAATTCTGTCTTAAGGCAATTAAGGCATCGTGCCTTAAGGCAAATTGCTGGAACTTCCCGTACCAAAAATTATTATTTTTTTAAAAACGATTAACATTTTTGAAAAAAATTTACTTTGAAAAAATAAGATTTTTGAGGAACTATAAATTGGACAAAAAATTACTGTTTTTTGAAAAAAAAGTTTTTTTTTTAATTTTTTTTTTTTTGAAAAGAAAATTTTTTTTTCTTTATTTTGACATATTGTGGAAGATCTGAACTTTTTTTTCAAAGCATTCGTACTGCTTTAACTGCATAGGGACAAAATATAAAGCGCGTAAGCGCCGCGTCGGTGTCTAACGCATAAGCATTGGTACGGAACCCATAGGAATGTTAACAAAATGTATACTTATTGTTAAAATCTCTATAAAATATCTGATAATTTGATGTGCATATGTCTAATGATCATTTTTGACCGCCAAATGGCTCATTTTTTTACTTTTTCCTCCATATCTCCGAAACTGCTAGACCTACCTTCATGAAAATTTTATCGATTTTTCATCTTGTCAATACAAGTGAAACGTTTTTTGAATTATTCAAATCGGACGCTCCGTTCTCTTAAAAACTGAGTTACCGTTTTCGGCACTTTTTGCCCGGTATCTTCGGAACGGCTAGACCTGTCTTCGCCAAAAACTAATCAGCACGTCTCCTTATCAATACGTATCGAATGTTTTTTAAATTATTCAAATCGGTTGATCCGTGTTCCCGAAATCGTCGACGAAAATTTGTATCCGCACATACATACACACACGTACATACACACACACACACACACACACACATACATCCATTTTTTCTAAGGTATGCCAAAATGTTCAGAAACCTCTGAAACGTAAAGATATATAAAAATTTTCATTTTCGATTTTTTTGCGATTACTATAACTTACCCTACGGGAAGTTAAAAATGTATTGAAAATTCTTACCCAAAATCATATTAGCGTCTGGAGCGGCGAGACGAAATTGGGACTCAAGATATTTCGGCAGGAACGTGTATAAACCCGCAACTGGCAGAAGATGCAGAACTGAACTCGCCGTCCTGAACATCAGAATGTCGTTGCTCAACAAACGCTTCAACGTCATAGGAAAATCTGAAAACAGTTACAAACATCAAATTAAACTGCTAATACATATTACATAAATAAATCAAATTAATGCATTTAATAACCAACCGGTAAAAATAATATTTCTTTTACCATTGTAATCAATGAACATACATTCAGATTCTATTATCAAATGCATGTGTTCAACCGCAATGTAATGATTAGTTTAATACAATACTGGCCTAGATTTTGAATGCAAGTTTTTATATATTTATACCGTAATTAATTAAAATAAGAGAGAATTAATTGAGTACATAAATACACACTGTATATTAATATATTATTTTAGTTATGTTAAAATTTAGCGAGATTTCCCAAAACATTATTTGAATTTTTTAATTACAAAAAAAATTAGTTTTATTAGTTTCCGCATATTATATCAATTTTATCATATTAATTCTAATGAAAATAGCAAACTATAAAATATATTTTAAATTTTCAGAATAAGACTAAAATAAAATTAACTGTTAATTGCAAAGAAACGGTTTAACTGGCGTTTACACAAAATTAACGAAAACGATTCCAAATTCATATATTTCTAAAAAAGCTAAAAATTAAAACGTCAACTTAATTGCAAAGATGGGGTTCTGCAGACCTTCACATAAAACAATTAACGTATACTCCAACAGATACCTTTTAAACAAGTATAGACATTTTAAAATCTGCCAAAGTCGATTTAAACATTCAAAAAACATTCTGCCAAAGTCGAAAAATGAATCTGCCACCAAGTAATGAAATTTATGTAAAACCAATGCTTTTCGGCAAATTTATGTAGAGGGTACGGTTGTGCCAGGGTATGGTAGTGACAGTCGCCATAACAGCTAAACTATACAGATTTTGAGATAGAGTGCAAAGGGAGAAAAATGTAGTATGTTTGTTTGAACAAGTTTCCTATATTGAATTTAGTCTGCGCCCTATATTAACATGATCTGTAGACCGAATTGCTTTTAAAGAATCAAAAAATGTTCAATTTCTATGTTCGATTTCTTTCAATAATAGCATTTTCTTGTATACAGATAGACCACTTTGTTTGTTATTTTGCTGTAAGTTGAACATTAGCAGTTAATTATCAGCAATTATTTTTTGCGTAGATAATTTAGCTCAGTCATAACAATTATTTGTTTTCAAAGTGTGCTTTAGGTACGGTTGTGACATGTAGTGTCCTTTTGTCCTTTTCAAGTAAATATCAAACAGATGAAGAAAAAAGGAAAGAAAAATTCAATACAAGGAAAAAAAAGATTTCACAAAGATTTCTTGTTAACTCTGTTTAAAAAATTATGTTTTGTTATATATTGTTATATTATATTCTTAAGCTTGAATAAGCTTTGTTATGTTGCCTTGTGTTACATATTTCTAACAATAATAGTGGTTCTAAACCATTTTGGTGTTTATACCTATTGTTTTTTAATCTATTTTTATGCCTGTCACAACCATCCTGGAATCATTCACCAAACATTGTATTTAAAAATTTCAGTATTTCCATATAGACAAATGTTCAAATTACCATTTAGTTTATTTTTCTCCCAGCAAACCGGTAAATTCACAAAATTATTACTGATAAAAATAAAGTGGCACTACCGTACCCAATCTCCCCTATTTCTAAAAAGTGATACAACTATGTAAAACCAACGGTTTGGAAGTGGTGGGAATGAAAGTATGTAAAAACTATTAATTAATTATTAACTGGAAATCAAATTACAGAGAAACTTCCATCTTTTTTCCTAATTTATAAGCATTAAACTTTTATATAATAGATATAATTTCATTTATATCAGTTTCTTTCAATACGCTTGCAGTGAATTGGTAAATTAATTAAATTTCCTACACATTTCGTGATTCGACCTTATACCTAATAACTTCTTTATTAGTCCATAACACGCTCTATAATTTTATTTTTATAGAACTACGTTTATAAAAGCGATATCCACGAATAAAGAAATGAGGATTCCATGATTATATTCAAAGATAACGTCAATATTTATTATATACTCCTATATTGTTATATGATTAATATTTATTATCCACATTCCATATTATTTGTAATAAATTATTAATATTTTTTCTTTTAATATTAATATATTTAATACAATATGCATTATAAAGATTTTTACACAATTGTTATAATCAATTATGATATTAATATAATTCATACAAATAAGATCATATTTATACATTATAAAATTCCAAGATTTTTCTGTTGTTTTTCACAATTTATATTAAATAGAAATAAAATTCCACGACAGAGATCAAGATATCTCAGTATCACAAAAAACTAGATGTTTTAACATTTGTATTATTTGGTATATTCAAAGATAAACTTCAAGGTAAATTACAACTAAACTAAACCTGAAGCTAAGCTAAAAAACGTTAGTCATTATATAGACCCATCCATAGGTGTACTTCATTCTGAGATGAAAACTTTACCATTATAAAATTACCCATAAAAATATTATTTAGGTATACATTTGAACATACATGTAATATTTCTGCGTAATAATTTACTCGAAATATTACATGACGTATTTGCACTATAAATTAACATCTATATCTTTTTACATTAGGCACATTAGTACATTTCTTCTATGAATAAAAAGTAGAAAATTTCCTAACGCAAAATCACTCAAACTAAATTGATTGGAAGAAACGATTCAAAAATTGTTATTGAATTTGTTTTTTTGGCTGGTTTCAAATTGATTGAACAAATTTTGATGTTGGAAATTTAAGAGATTTAAAAGAATTTCAAATTCATACAATTGTTAGAAATAAAAAAAAGTGAAAAAGAACATTTTTTAAAAAAATTGTGTAAGGTCTATTGCACGTGGGTCATGGGTTACATTATTTTTTTTATTTATATAATATTTATATCATGTTAATATAATATATAGGGTAGAGCGGGACACAGCGATCCGATTTGATATTGAACAATTATATTATGAAAACCAAACGAATAATATAACTGACAATGTTCAATAAGACTCCTAGCTGTGTTTTTTCTGTTATTTAAAAAAATGTAACCTGGTCTTTTTTACCTCATAGGCGGGGTAAATTGGGGAGGCCAGAGTGGAAACAGATCTGATGTCTTATTATAATTTTGAAAATAATAGCTACAATATTCAACCAATGCAAAATATAAATTTCAATGGTACATTTTTATTGAGGTAACACTGTATATAACCTTGATCTGGCATTTCATCAGAAATATTCATCAGCAGAGTTGGAAAAATTATTTATTCAATATATCTCTTGTAAAATTACCTATATAACTTAATTTACTTTTTTACTTTTTACACCTTTGCCAGGATAGAGATTCAGTTGGTCCTTTTTACCCCACCCATTTATAAGCTTTTATAGAGGTTATTTAAAAATAACAAATTAATCTAACTTAAAATGAACAATACATCTTATAAAACAATTAGATAACGATTAGATAACGTTTAATTATTAAGGTCTCGCAAACTAAACAACAGTGCTCACAACCAAAAAATCTAACAACGAAAGAAAATACTTTTGTTATGGATTTTCAAACATTGCCGTTTTTCTCGCGATATCAACGTCGTCAGAATCAAGATGATGACTGTTTATACATATTTTCCCTCTACTTTTAAATATTGTTGTTAAAAAATTCTTAACTTTACTGATTTGAGATAGCAGTGGTGATCTTTTAAGCACCGATCTACCCTACAACACAGGTGTATATAAATAGATTTTGCTCATATATACTTGCTCACGTAGAAATGATTTAATAACCTTTCCAAATCTCAACAAAAAGATATAAATATTAAATTTGTATGATAATAAACTTTAATGCATAGAACAAGGTTATCATTATGACAATAACGCATTCCCTTGTGCGAGAGGGTTTCGCAGATCGGTCGACACGATTATAAAATCCCATACGAGAGCCAAGGCAACGAAATAAGCAAAAGATGAAAAAGAAAGATCTCGACACATACCAGCAAACGAGTGAAAAATTTATAAAGAACAAGAAGAAGAATAGACAGAGATCCCACGGGAACAATTGTTGAATACTTAGTTATGTTTTGATATGAAAAATAAGATATTAAAACGCTATACAATTAATTCTATTTAGTTAGATCTCTTGTATAAATAAAAAATACAGATAACAATATGACAACAGCATGTTTCCTAAAAATTTAACATCAAAGATAACTTTAATTTAAACCCAAAGAAAAGTTTTTAAAACAATTTTTTTCAAACCTATTACTAAATGTATTACTAAAAAATAATACTGTTTTATTTTCACTTAACCTAGTAACACAGCTATAGTATAGCCACTACTATTAACTGAAAAATCTGTAAAGTATAGAATTTTTAACGATGCTATTTCAACGTAAAAGGCAAAAGATGTGCAAATAGTTATTACTTTAATTCTTACTACGACAATATCAAATAATAAACGGCCATATATGAATATCTACGACAAGTATTTGTTTTGTTGAGAGTATTTTTGGTTTGAAGTTTAGCTTATGATACCTGAAAATAAATTTTAAGTATGTGTCATTTAATTGTTTTATAAGATGTGCTGTTATCGTTTTATAAAAACGTACATGTGGGTGTATTAAAATGGACCAACTAAACTTTCACAATGGCAAAAGTGTAAACAATAAGAAAATAATAAATATAAAAGTAAATTAAGTTAAAATAATCAATTTCACCAGAGATAATTTTAATTAATAGTATTTCCCACTTTTATGATGATATTACAAAACACCAGATCAAGGTTATATACAGCGATCATTGTAAAAAATGTGCACTTTAAATTTCTATTTCGTATAGATATTATTTCATCACTGTAAAATTGAAAACAAGATATTAAAGCTATGGGGGCAGGACAAATTTTAGTAATAGTAGTAAAAAAACTTTTTTCTGTAATTCGGAATTAAATGGAAATTTTACTGAACATAGTTCGATAAATATTTGTTTCGTAAGTCTTACGTGTCGATAACTATAATGTAGTTCATTAGATT